ATTTATAGTTAATTTATATAATTTAATTATATAATATATTTAGAAATTAATGAAGCGATTTAGAAACTATCTGAATAAACGATAAAATATTATTAACCGTTTTTTTTGGATTAAAGAACGAGAAAAAAGAGAGAAAAGTTAAAAGACAATTATAAATGAAAAGAAATATACAAGAAGCATCGACACACATTACTTTATCTGAAAGATAAATGTATTTGTATTACTTACTTCTCAACAATGTTGTACTGAAACGCACTTCTGAAAGATCAGAAAAGAACTACATGACGAAAATTATGTCGAGGATATTCTGACTAGCCTTTCGACCCGTTCAGAATTTCATTATCAACACAAATAAGTTGCTTTTTCCTCGTCATTTCCTGTATATTGAACTTCGATGAATCTATCAGTTGCGCAATTCATAGCACGTGAATGACGAATTTCTTAAATTTAGCATTACAAACATTTTTTGGTTTTCACTTTTTATGCATCGTGAAATATTGTACCAAATATTTCGTATTACGCTCGACGAACATATCTAAAATATAGATTATGTATTCGTACGATATAATCATTACATGTCTAGAGGATTTACATGTCTTCTAAAAAATATGACCACTCAATTAATAAAAGACACATTATAAGTTAATTGAAAGCAACTTATTTTTTGAGAGGTTTATAATTTTAAAAAAATGGTTAAATTAACATCTTAAAAAATGACAATTATTACTGGTTATTATGATTAATTGACACTGTTAATTGACAATTTAACAATTAAAAAAATTATTAAATTAAAAATTGTTAAATTATTACTAATTTTTAAAATTATAACTAGTAGCTGTTCGTATAATACAGTCCAATACTCTTGCTATTTTACAAGGAAAACTTTTTTTATTTTAGTGCTTCATTTGTTATTGTTATCATTTAAGGCTACGATAAATCTACATCTACCATTGAGATCTTTCTTTATAAATTATTCGTTTGGGCCAGTGATGCGCAACCTGCTGTCTGCTAATTAATTGTCTGCGACTGGTAGTCTCAAATACAGTCGAAAATATAAAATTGTATTTTCTGTTTTATGTAAATTATTAAAATAATAAGATTATACGTACAGTTTACAGTTTCATTAAGATAAAGATTAAAAAATTCTTCAAAAATTCATATTTGAAAATGTTTGTTAAATATTTGATTTTTATAAATTATCTTAAGTTTTTCATTTCCTCATTGATGAGATAAAATTTCAAATTAATCATTCTGTTAGTTATTTCTACATAAAATGTACAATCAAAGTGAAAAAACAGTCATTGAAATAAAGCACTGGAATAAATATAGACAAATAAAAAAAATTCATTTAATATTAATAAAGAAATTATTAATTAAAATTAAGATTATAAATTATTTAATGTGTTTTTAGTATTTCATAAGAAAACATTTTTATTTTATTTATTGGTTAGATCTTTCTCCGAGAGACATTGAACACATTCGATCTGTCCAATCATGTGCGAATAATGTCGATTTCTACATGAAAACTCACTCGTTTGTATTATAAGGAATATGCGTGTATTTGCGATAACTCATTTGACATCGACCTTTGCGAAAAGTTAATATCTGAAGAGGGTCAATCCGGTAGCCGCAACTTGTGATATTATTATAATTTTTTAGAATTTATATACATTTATATCTATGATACCTGACGTTTTTATCACAATTACATGTTTTATATTTTTGAAACTAGACGTTTTATTTTAATTTATTTGTTGACTCTTACTTTGCCCTTTGTTTATTGTTATTTAATTATAAATTATTATAAGAAATTATATATATTTTCAATTATAAATAATTTTTTTTTTATATTTCAATACAAAATTTTGTATTTGTTTATTTTATATACATATTATAATAACATGTACAGATTTTGTCTACATTTGAAAAAATGGCTCTTAGTTTAAGAAAAGTTGCGCATCACTGCGTTAGACCATTTTTACGAATATTCATTTTAACATTAAGCAATCAAAAATCTACACACAGAATACTATTATGCTGCGAATGTACTTTACACTTTGCTTGCAATTAAAATAAGTTTCTATTGTCAATCAAATTACAATGCTTTCTTTATTTGCATTTTCTTTGAGATTAGCCATGCATGTATATATGTGTACAGAGGTATAAATATAATTATATAAATTATTGTAACTGTGTTAACGCTTCCAATTAAATTGTGATTAAAATTTTTTTTTTTATTAAAGTTGTATATTTTAAATATTACTTTTTAGAAAAAGTTATACGGTTCGAAAATATATTGAGGCAATTATTTGCGAATATAATAATTTTAATTATATATTATATTTGATTGGTTACACATTTAAATAAATCCTTTAATATTTAATTAAATGTATTGAAATTTATAATAAGTTTAATTGCTGTACACATAATACATGAATGATTATTGTAATATATGTATCTATATGAACACAATTTATATACTTACTTATTATACATACGTACTTAATAAGATATTCTTATTATCTTTTAATAATTATTTATATAACATATATTAAAATTTTTTATATATTTTAATCTTGTACATATTTCAAAAGGTTTTATTCGATTATTTTTGATCTACAAGTTGCACAGAAAATTTCCGTAAATTTTTTGCTAATATTTTAGATTAAATATGAAACACATTTAACACATTATTTAACATATACATATAGGGATTTACATGTGAATAATATAGGAACTATTAGAAAAAATATATACATTCATAAAAGGTATCATAAATGTTACCATTTACAATTTATTTAAGTTAATTGGTCTAAATAACATTTCGAGATACCGAAGAATATGGTATATATATAAAGCTTGAAACTAAACGTAACTATAATTAATAGTATATGAAAAGGTATAAGAAAAGATATATATTATTAAAACATAAAATAATTTTATTAAAAAAAATATATATTATATTAAAATTATATAAATGAATATCAACATTACTGTGTCCTAATAGAGGAGAGTCGTACCGACGGTTAAATCGTACCTCCATTGTATTTTCTAAACAAAACATTTTTTTTTAAAGGTAATGACACTGATGTGACGCTGGTAATATGGGTTAAGAATTATCATTTTTATTTTGTCTTCGAGTCGTCTGTTTACGAGTGACATTCAAAATTGATTTTGTTCGGTGTTCTTCTGATCTAAGTTTTGATACAATTTACCTAAGGTGTTATCAGTACAAGGTGGGTAATTGAATTATAGTGTCTTTCAGGGTTATAATTGATATTTAAACTCTTTTCGAGTATAGCATTAAATTAGCAAAATATTTGTAAGTTATGTTGCTATTGGCAAATTTGTAAAAATAGAGGGAGTTGGGTAAATCGAACTTGTCACTGGTCTTTATATTGTACCGATTTTCGCAAGTGACGTGAGCAATATGTGGAGGTTTATACTATTATGCTATTATGATAAAAAAGGACCTACAGTGGACTAGATTCAGTGTGTCAGGTGCTCTAAGTGGTTGCACGAAACCTGTAGTGATAATCCTGACATTTGCCAAAACTGTTTAAATAAACGCTTAAAAAAGTGATTACTTATCAACTAATGAGTCTTTCTATTAAATTTTTCTATTGAGTCTTTCTATTGAATCTTTTCTATTGTGACGGAAAAATCTGTAATTGATTTTATTTCCAAAATTTATTTTTTCAAAATATCTGAGATTTTAATATTCTGAAATGTAGTACTTAAATCAATTTAGGTATTGCTTTTTACTTAATTTTCTTAAATAAGTTTAAAAAACACAGAATCTAATTTCTGTTTTTATAATAGAAAAGTTTTTATTATACCTACTTAAATATGTACACTCAGTTTAAAATTAAAAATAAATTTATTAATAAATGAGTTTTAAAATTAATTTTATTTTCCTAGTAAACAAACTGACGTTATTTACCGTCATTTTGACGTTAAAGATGTTATTTTAATGTCAAAATGACAATAAGCAATGTCAGCTTGTTTGCTATATTAGAAGTACGATTTAAGAACCAGGTGGTACAATTGAACGACTCGGTCTCCAAATCGTACCGAAAGCTACTTTTTTTTTAAATCTAATTTAACCAATAATGTAATGTTTATTTTCGCAAAAGTATCGTTTTGTTTTATTGCCAATGAACCAAAGTTTAATATAAGTACAGAAATATTTTGATATCTTCAGTACTTTTGTTTACAATTTTGTTTAAATGTTAGGGGGTACGATATAGGCGACTTCCCCCTATGTGTTTCACGAAATATTAACTGAAATTTTGTTTCTGCACGAAACTCACAAAATACAAAAAAGATTTATTAATAAAATTATCTTAATAACATATGTGATTATTTTATTTTCATCTTTAATTCCTTTAATCGCATAAATTATCAAAACAACAAATTTTTAATACAGTTTCCTAGTAAAAAGTTTAAAGAAATATATTTGTAGAATATACACAATTTTATCATAGAACGTATTAATTTAATAAACTTCTCATTTAGATTTTTGTACTTTACGTCATTCACGTTAAATAAAATAGAAATTTTTATAATGCAGTTGTACGACTATATATTATAATACCTATAAATAATTACATACAAATTATACGAAAAATAATAGTACGTATTATATTAAACAGTGACTTCCCTTAGTTACCAAACAATGGATCCTCGATTATGCGAAGTTGTATATTATCGATTGTTTCTTTGCCATTTTACACTGTCACGGTAAATATTTGCTATTATCTTACTGCAACAAACAATCCCATACAACACCAAATTTCTAAAAACGTTCATAGAACATTTTAAGATTATTACAATACATTCTTAAAATGTTCATATAGTGTTGTTCTATTAATGTCATATGCTATCTGAGATGCTGACAAAGCCTATAAATATAAAAATAAATAAACGACCAATGTATATATGTATATTAATTCTAGAATAAATTTTATGACGAATTCATATCATAAATAAAATAGTTTATTTATTAATTGTTGACTATAATCGCCAACTGTGCTTTACCGACTATCTTGCAATTAAAATATATATCTTTTTAATTCAATAATTATTACATTAAATGTCTCCCAATGGTATATACTGTATATGGCAATCTGAAATTATACAGAATCTCAAATCCCTATATTATTTTAGCTCAAATCTTTGCGAAAGACTTTACATGTGGTCCACGTATGACATTAGGAAATGTTTCTCCTCAAAATATTTTTTCAAGTTTTTCAGTCTCACAGCTCATGATTGTCCATGACATCTAATTCCTCTAGATCTTCTTTCAAGATATCGACATCACCGTAACCCCAGACGTGACTTCCATCGCCAGATCGGTGTGCTCTACGACGGATCATATTTGGTGAGACATACTTCCGATCGTAGGCCCACCCGATCCGTGCAAATGCATCAATGAAGGCGGTAGTAAGATTGAACGGGTACTCGCCTAGCTCACCGGTCTTATAATCCCATGGGAACACATGATGATAATTGTGATATCCCTCACCAAGCGCCGCGATTGATACCGCAATGTTCTCCACTGGCGAAATGTTTCTATAAGCAAATAATCACATTCTGTTTCAAAGACTGATATTTAGACTAGATAGAATGTCATGTAAAAAATTCATCGAATTAAATTGTTGCTTATTTTCGATTATCCCATCAGCGAATCTTCGATGCATTCGTGATTTAATACGTACTTATCGTAAGGTTTCTGACCCCACATGTGTGCCACGCTATTGACGGAGAAGGCTATGTTTAAATTAATGCAGAAGCGGAAATTGAAGTTCACCCAAAACGATATCCATAGTGATTCCGACCAGAAGTAGCAAGGAATTCCCACTGGCAGTGCGATGGTTAGAAGTGCAAATAGAGGTATATATAATCTATATGGATAAATCGATATAAAATTAATTATGTCATAAAAAATGACACATAAATTTTTGAACATGTATAAAATAACAATAAGGATGTCTTTAATATATATTCTATTTTACTTATATGTATATCAGTATACTTCTTTTTGTAATGCTAACAGGAAACACTCTCAGTATGTACATGCCAATTTTGATAAAATTTTCATTACTAAAAATACTTGGAAAATGATAAATAAATATATCCATTTTAATCGTTAATATTTAATATAAAAAATTAAAATTTTCATGGAGAACTAAAAATTGAAAAAATATGAAAAAATTACACTGTTCGACATTATTTTGGAACTTTTTGTGAATAATCATTTTTAATTTATTTTTGCCTGCTAAATATGAATTTATTGTTCAAATTTTGCTATCATATCACAATTCTGAAAAAATGGTGACAAAATAGAAAAAAAACAATTTTAAGGGTTTTATGTTGTAGCATTAGCAGCAAATTTTTTTCTAAATTTTATTAATGCCTTGTCGAAGTATCAGTTTTAGCTTTAAAATGCATTTTAAAATATAATATATATGGCAGGAAGATAATAATCTTTTTTATTTTAAGATTATAATCTTCCTGCCATATTGTACCTTGCTAATTTCTTATTGCTTCTTTATTTAATATAATTCGATTAAAATATCTCGAAAACGAAGAGTCATATCGACATAAAATAAGACGCATTTTAAAGCTAAAAATTAATACTTTAATTAAGCAAATCTATATTGCTGATGTTACAATGTCTAAAAAAATCTTCAAAATCTTTGAGTTTTTGTCCTTTTCAATATCATTTCTTTTTCAAAGTCGTAACATGATAACTAAATTTGGATAACAGATTCAGTAGGCAAAAATATATCAGAAACTATTCACATGTGTAAAGTGGTATTTGATAGTGTACTTTTCTTATGTTTTTTTTTTATAATTTTCAGTTTTCTCTAAACATTTCAATTTTTCCTAAATATTGATAATTGCCGATAAAATGGAATCGTGGCTCATCATTTCGCAAGTACTTTCAGTAATAAAAGTTTCACTAAAATCGACGTATACATATTGGGTAATATTCCTTGTAAAACAAAACGAATGACGTAACGAATGCTATAAATCTTTTGCCTTTTTTGCCACATAACTATGGGATCCGCTTCTAGATCGCTCACATCGACCGCGATGCGTTTGGCGACGACGTCTGGATGGGGTGTCGTAAAAAGCCACCCTACATGAGCGAAAAAGAAACCTCTTCTCGCATCATGCGGATCTGCATCGGTTTCACTATATTTATGATGTACCCTATGGTCCAACGCCCATGTGTACACATCTTTCTGCACAAAAAGAATATTGTTAAAACCTTGATAAAATTCATTAATTTATTTTTAAGTACATATATATATATATATAGAGAGAGAGAGAGAGGGATGTCTTTGAAATTCGCGAATTAAAATACTATTAAGAAAACCGGGACCGGTCGTCATACAGGGTTGATTGTCAAAAAGCTTATAACTCAAATATTACAGAAAAATCTCTTTTTTTTATTATAAATTGGTAATATAATATTAATTTGTTGTTTAAAATGATTTACACCAAAAGCATTTTAAATGTATACTGTTAAATCTATAATGTCAAATTTAACTTAATATGAGTCACAAACGACTTTTAAGAAAATGAAGTTGATGAGTAAATTTTTTTACCACCTATTTTGTCGTCTGACAAGACTTTGGCATTATTAATCTCGATATCCCTGTATTCATAGAAAATATCTTAAAAAATTTTTGTCTCCTCTACAACAAAGTTTTCGAAAAAATAAGTTATAGAAGTATTTGCCACTTGTCATTCTAAGTAGTAGTTTTTGAGATAAATGTTAAAAACAGGCCAATTATAGATTACACTATTCAACAAAAAATGACTTTTTTTAACACTAAAACAAGACTAATCATATGTTTTATAGTTTTTTGGATACTAAATACGAATCCGTTTTCCAAATTACTCTATCACGTTACAATTTTCAGGAATTTGCAATTAAAATTACAAAAAGGGCTATTTTTCATGCAATTTGTTATATTATACAATATGTACTGCAGAAACTTTGTTGCAATTAAAATTCGTTATTAAAGCATATCTGAATTATTTAATGATAACATTTCGGGAGGTTTTCCAGAAATTACTGAAAAAATAGGATAAACCTAAGATAAAATTTAAAATTTTAATTATATTTATAGTAACTCACAAATAGATGGTAGTTCAACCGTAATCTATAATTGGTCAGCTTTTAACTTTTATGTCTCAAAAACTATACTGCTCGGAATGACAAATAGCAACTGTTTTTATAACTTATTTTTTTAGAACTTTCTTATTGTAGTATTTTAATTCGCGAATTTCAAAATACTCTGTATGTGTATGAGTGTTTTATATATATATTATACATACACATTTTTTTTATTTGAATAAAACTTCGTAGCGCTACACTGAAAAAAAGGATTGGTTGCTGCAGCAAATTAGATGGTAAAATAATGGCATAGCATTTTTAATTGGCTTTAGCAGCCTATTTTTGGTTGCGTTAGCCTATCCGCAATGTCAGTATAAGATTTCGATAGGTTAACGCAGCCAAAAATTGGCTGCTGTAAATCAATTAAAAATGCTATGCCATATTTTACCATCTAATTTGCTGCAACAGCCAATCCTTTTTTTCAGTGTACTCATTTGTATCATGTGTCTACATATGTTTAAAAAAAAAAATTAACAATTATATCATTCGATAGAGCAAGACTTCAACTTTAAGAATCTGTTTTTTTAAATTATAAATGATGATTTTTAACGGAGTGTCATGAGCAATCAAAATCGAAATGCTTCTTTTATTAATCCGCAGTAATAAAAAATTTTAGGAATATTTTCAAAATTTTGTAGAAAAAACTTTAAACTTTTACGTTAGAAAGTCGAAAGTTGTCACAAGCTTTTTTTTAGGCACGTTCGCAAAATAAAAAGAAAAGTTTCCATTTTGTTCAGTTTGTAGTTTTCTGTATGTAAAAAATTGTCAAACTCACAGAAACTGAAAATGCATAGTAATCTTTCAAAAATACAGATATTAAACTTTAAAAAAATTTTTTTAATTTAAATTTTGTTTATTTTTAATGAAGTTACAACTGCTTGAATTTTAAAGTTTGCAGCGCTATAAACTTTTGTTCCAAACCAATGTATATTTTGTAATTATTTAGAAACATCCTTTATATACATACACAGAATGTAGCAATAATTTTTTATCACTTTGAATATTAGTGAATCTATAAGGTTATCACTTCCGAAGGAAGTGTTCTGAAAGAAATCTAAAGAAAAATTTCGTTATCAAAATTGCATGGTACGAAGGAGGCTATCACGATAATAATTTTTGTTAAGGTAAAGACGCTTTGAAGATACGAGAAGGTCAATTTTATTTTTTTAATAAGTTCGGTATGTTTTATTTATAATATGATAAAGGAGATCAGAACTAGTTCAGAACTTATGATTCAGAATTACTGAACAAGATTAAAATAAAAAAATAAAATGTCACATAAAACATATATATATAAAACAAAAGTAAGTTTTATTTTATTTAATATAAAAAACATATTTTTTAATATTTCTTATTTTTAATTTTGCTTAATAATCTTGTGTCATGAGTTCTAAATTTGTTTTGAGCTTCTCTATCTCAATACTATAAAGAAACATATTACAAATCCATTTTAAGAAATAAAGGTAATCTTGATATCTCTAAAGCGCTCATCTTTACTAACTTGAACAAAATTTATTATCGCCATATGATAGTGTTCCCTTCGTACCGCGATTATCGTGCAATATTGATTACACAAATTTTCCTCTGGATTCAAAGAAATTTTACAGGTAATAGTTATTGCCCACTCTGTGTGTATATAAATATAATCTTTAATACAAATATGTCTCGTGTGACAGCAATAATGACACAATCACAATATTAATAAAAGAGACACTAAGTATAAGCGTATTCAGGCCTATGATTTAATCAGGTCAAAGCTAGATCTTTTTTGCCTAAATAAGTGAATTATCTATATCCTATATATGTACATGCATATCATATTTTTGTAGTTATTCAAACTGCGCGCCGAAATTTTTCCGGACTTCATTTAACGCAATTAAACTACTGCAATAATATCACAAGTTAAATTAAATTGACAATGTGTTTTAGGCAAAAAAGACCTAGCTTTGACCGTCATAGGCCTGAATACGCTTATACTTAGTGTTTAATTCTTGTCGGTCCGAATAAAAAAATCTTATTGATTAATAAAAGAGAATTCTTATGTTTATTGTACAAAGATTATCTATTATTATTACGTGAGAGAGAGAGAGAGAGAGAGAGAGAAAATTTAACACACCTGTCCTGTTATCGTGAAGAGGAAGACTAGAAATAGACGCAAGGGCCATTTAGCTTTGTATGCCTTGTGCGACCATAATCTGTGAACGCCAGCCGTAATACCAAAGCCAGATGTATAAATCGTCACAAACACTATAATTATACAAAATATATTCACCAAAACATTCTCAAAACTATTAATAATATATATATTTAGTTAAAGAGGAGTAACAACATTAGAATATTTTATTACGTATTTGCTACATTAGATTTTACGATATCACTCATTCTTTGTAAGTGATAAGTTTGTAAAATAATTATTAATTCTATTTTCTATGTTTCTAGTTTTTTCTATTTTTAAGTTTTATATTTACTATCTTTTTGTTTATTTATATATATAAGTCCATTTTTATTTCAAATCCTTGTGTATTTATATTTTCTTGGTTTTTTAATAATTTAATTTTTGGTCTCATACAAAAATAAATAATTTTCAAAGTTTAAGAAAAATAAAATAAATTATAAATTATATAAATTTTTATGAATAAATTGATTACATCATGACAGCTGCTTTTTCTTTTATCGTGTTCTTTAGATGTAAGGAGATGTTATATTCGCCATATCGCGGAGCAATGTAATTTTACCACGAATACACATTGCAGAAATACGAGACGTATCGTTATCGCGGCATATTCTTCCGTTTTATGAGATCCAATGCCAGTAAATTCGATATAAGTGTTGGCTTTAAACGTCAATCGAATACAAACATGTGCATTTGCGTAACCCGTCTCATTATCAGGCTTTTCTTATAAGTGTTTTCATAGCCGTAGCCGTGCGTGTTTCTATGCCATTTATTTTCCACGGCCAATGTCGTGTGTGTGATTCAACTCCTACTATAAGTAAATTATTCTCTGTTACGTATGACACAAATTTATTGTAAACATTTCGACACTCGCATGATATGCATGCTATGATCACCTGGTGATATTAGACCTTGCCTGTACAGCCGCGAAAGCTGCTGTTAAATCAACTTTTGCGGCTATACCGATAAGCGATCTCAATTTATAAGAAAGTAACACGGTGGCAAGAAATTATATAACTCAGTAAGAATTCAGAGAAAATATACTAAAGGCTAAAAAATTTCATTATAACGTTTGCATTATTTATAACATAAAAGGCAATTGTCATAATTATTTCCTTGTTCAACTATCGACACACTATTTCACAATTTAAAGTGTGAGAAAAACTTGATAACACCTAAGACATTTACAAATTACCGTGGCGACATAATTTCGTTCGAATTGATTGAGTGCTCTCATCTATCCACATTGCACGCGTCGTAAAATATTCTTAAAGAATGACGGATTCGCAGATAGAAGATAAATTGATGACCAATCCCGTAGGTAGTCAAACACGTTGTAGTATTAGAATTACAATGCTGATATTGTTATTAACTCGCAAATGACGTGAAATTACCGTGCGACCTACATTCTTGCGCTATCGTAAATTAAATACTTCCAACATGCTCATATTTCAAGGATTGTTTTGCAATAATAAGGAACACAAGGCAATTGTATATCGATCCATGCGATTATGCGCTAGAATATATAGTTAAATTTTAAAAATAGAATTACAAAAAGTAAAAGTTAATTTTGGCGTGCGCGTGTTAAGTTTAAATTATGCTTCTGTTACAAAGTGAAATAAAGATTAATCACACTGTAGAATTAAAGATGAAATGCAATAAATAATATAGTATTAGTTATTATTTATTTTGTATTATGGCAAAAAACAATATTAGTTAACGTATAAATTAAAATGCTTTAATTAAATTACAAAATCAAATAAGCATTCGCTGTATACTCAGATTATGTAAGTTTATTTCCATCTATCTGATAAGCGATAATGAGATTATATTCGGTATCTCAAAGCACGAAAATGACTAATTTAAATATATAGTGTATTAAAAAAAGATTTGTAAAAAGATATTTGTATTAAAGTAAAAAATACTGCACAGCGACATATGTAAAGAATACTTTTTTTAAAATAAAAATTTCTATTAGAATGTTAAAATAAAAAATTGATACAACTGACGGTAGATTAAATGTATATGGACTAAAAAAATATTTGCCTTACCCCATAGCGAAGTAAGCAATTTCGCCTGTGTGAGCACCAAATACAGCCCGTAAAGACATCCGCCGTGTATGAAGAGTTGCGCGCTAAAATCCAGCCACTTTATCCTCGGTACGTACTTAATCTCAGTCGACTCATCGTTCTGAGTCGTTGCTGCATGCCTCTTCACCGGCTCAACGTTTGCTAACCGATTCCTCTTCAGCGTTATGTTACAGTCTGTCTCTGCCTTAGGACATATTGCCGCCGTTACCTTTTCTTCATACGGCGACATTCTCAAGGACGTATTCTGTTTGAATGCCTCTTGCAATCGTCTAGAAACATCCAGGGATCACCGTTGATTTTTCATAAATCGATTCAGTTGCTATTCTGCATTGCAAGTAATTTTTGCGAGATTCACCAGTACTCGTTGATTCGATTTATTGATCGTGATATTGTTGTACACGGTACATGCGAACCTAAACATGACAAATCGAAATTTTAGATTGTTTCGTGCTGCAGAACAGTTTTCTTCAGATTTAAAACATGGACAAGATTACATGTCACTTTCTTAAATAACATTCCATATAAAGCACTTTCAAATTTATTAAAAGATCAACCTCAGGATTTTTTGGACATTCGTTTACTTCTTTCTTTTAACGATTCTACGTTATTCGAATACGAATATTCTGTGGAATAAAAGCGAGGAGAATACATGTTCTAAGATATTACATATTGATCGCTGATAACCCCACCAGTTTGCGTCGCGATAAGATTATTACTGTTTTTAAGTATTTTAAAAAATTTGTTATCAAAAAAGATCATTTATTTTAGGATTATTTTATTCTTTGTCATTTACTTTCAATTGTAAAATTATTAACTTCATTAAATAACGCATTCACTGCACGCCAGTGCACATTGGTATTTCATAACCATTAATTTTTAATTACCGATATGTTAAAACTGAACTATCTTAAGATCACAGAACATCTGGTACCATTCTGATAATCAATTGGGAGAAAATCGATATTTTTAAAAGTGTATGAATTTATGTGAATTACGGCAAGGCTATACCTCGTTAACATGTTACGTAAATCTCAGTCTAGCATAACCGCGGAAACATTTTCCACGCTGATTTAACAACAACAGGTGCAATCTGCAAGAATATTCTCGACCTAATATATGCCGAGCATTATAAAATGTTATTTTCGCACTTGCGAATAGTTTTACGATTAACATATTAGCATCATAAGTTACGTTTTATTAATCAAAAATACCAAAAATAGATACAAAAACAAATATTTCTCATAATTGTATAAATTATTCAGATATTGAAAAAGTATTTAATTATATTTTGTAATATAAATTGCTATTCTATAACAAAGTAACCATGAAAAAAGATAAAACTTCTAAATGAGAATTCAGTGAATATTCTTGGTATGTTAATTTGCAAGAGATAATAACAGTGCAATAAAACACTTGTCGTCAATGCTCGAAATGTAATAAAATTTTAAGAGGTTAGAACTTTTACACACTTCATAAACCAAACATATAGGTTTTCAAATTATTCATAATTTTTGATTGAATTACTTTTGTCCTACGTTTTTTATACGTTATTTCTGATAAAATCTGTAAAAGTTTATACAACGTTTTTCTTATGTATCTTAAGTTCACAATTAACTGCAGTGAGCATTTTACTAGAAGTGTCCTTCCGTGCACGAAGATTGTATAGTCCCTTTACCATATAAATAATTATAATCTCTAATTGTGCATTACACAAATATAGCATATAACAAATGTACGTAATTAACAATATTTGTATTATACTCATAACTGCAATATATTTCAAGAAAAAAGATATGAAAAGATATATTTCGTCTTATATTGGACAGAGCTTACTATTGCATATCTCTAATTTAAATAATTATAATCTCTATTTAAAATAATATAATAATATTACGATTTATCATAGTTATACTACGTACAATAGTAATATATTGTGCTACTTTATTATTATACTATTAAGAGTAAATTATATCTAAAAATAATTTATCAAAACTTACAAGATACCAGACTTTTTCTAATATTATCAAGACATACCAGGAACAAATGATACGCGCAACATTTTCCGGTATTTTGATAAAATATATATTAATAATTCGTTACTTTGAACGCCAATGTCAAACTTCGAGGATGACAAGAGAACTGACTGATCGATCGATAAGCTCCAACTCGAAAACAATTAAACTGCGTTCGTACATACCGAGTGCCTCCAAGTGTCATTCCTGAGGTCTGTTTTCTGTGGCTGAATCAGTGTACACTTTTGAAACTTAAAGTGAAATAGGTATATGTTTGATACTTGTCGAAAGCGAGAAAGAGACTTCTAGTGCAGTCTAGTGCAGGAACAGAAAACAGATCACTTGTAATTCACCGAAAATTAAACAAGGATAAATTAATATACCTGGAGTCACTCGGTGTGTATTCCCGAATGCAATCCTAGTATCGAATATACAGCCGATCACAAAAAGATTTCAACAGTTTTTTTTAATAGGTTTCAGAATGCCGTCTGTTCACCGAGCGATTGATTCTTACTTATGGATCCATAGATAAGAACCAATCTATGATAAATCATAATTACATTATTTTAAATAAGTGATAGTAGTATTTTTTATCTATAATTACTAATGCAATGTAGAGTAAGCTCTGTCCAATATAAAACAAAATATATCTTTTCATATCTTTTTTCTTGAAATATATTGCAGTTATGAGTATAATACGAATATTGTTAATTACATACATTTGTTATATGCTATATTTATGTAATGCACAATTAGAGATTATAATTATTTATATAGTAAAGGGACTATACGATTTTCGTGCACGAAAGGACACTTCTAAAATGCTCACTGCAGTTAATTTTGAATGAGCAAACTGCATTCCAAAAAACATTAAGAGAAAAGTGTTACAATCTTTTAGTTGATATACGTATGTATTATGTAATAACTTTATGCATATGTATATGTATTTTTTTACATTATAACGTTAGATTATTTCCTTACATTATTATGCATGTATGAACGTGTGTACGCAGTTTCATCATTTAAAATTAGACACAATATTGAATATATAATATATTGCAGCCCAGAATGTATATTCTTTTAGTTATAGCTTTAATAAATAAGTGATAATAAAGCTAAATAATTCAAACAAAAACAGTAGGTATTGAAACTTATTGTAAGTATTAATTATATAAAAATTATATTAAAGTCTTATATAATGTTCATGATTTTCTTTGGCAAAAATTAGGATAATTTTTGCATGATAATCAGTGAAAAATTCTAAAAACTTATTCTTCAATCGATATGTAAATGCGATCTGAAATTGTACTTTGCAAACATTTCAAAGAGAAAGTACCTTTCTTTTCGTAAATTTCTCATCTCCTCCTTTAGTACCTTTCTTCGGTGACTCGAAATTCGATCGATCAGTAATCCTGACTTTTGGAGAATGCTCATTGTATCTCATAGCGTTGCCGATTCTCAATCACATATGTAAGGATATTTCAACGTTATGATCATTATATGATATGACTTTAACTAAGTTTGTCCTTCAAAGAAAGAACGACAAGGTTAAGCAAAACATTGTAAATGTACAACATAAATATGGTAGAGTGCGCCAAAGATCGGTCGAAGTTAGATGCTTCGAATAATATAATATTTTTAGATTCATGAATTTAATTTATCTCCGATGTGACTGTGCGCCGAAACGTTCGGACATTTAAACACAATCAATCTGAGATGCTAATAATCGCGAACCGAAACATTCGCGTATATATAATTCCTTCAGTCCGAACGTTTCGGCGCACAGTCACATCGGAGATAAATTAAATTCATAAATCTTTGGCACTCTCTATCATATTTATGTTAAAATACTGTAAAGTTCTACGATGAAACGTCTCGTAATGGACAAGTAACTATATTAGCGTTTTATTTCGCGCATTATGGTACAATTTATTAAACATTAATAGGCTATCAATGTCAGCGAATACTTAATTTACAAGTCAAATTATATTAATTTATTTAATTTATTGCAAGATCCATATCCATATCAACTTATTTTCAAAAATTTAAAGCCGGCAGTTGATAATTAATTTATTAATTAGATAAATCGAATATAGACCAATGTTTATGTAACGTGAATTTATAGTAGGTTTAAGCAGGCTCTCGATGTTAAAGCCATTGACAGAAGTCATTGAAAATTCCTTAATATCCGTCTCGTCGGTTCCAATTACTCAAGCTATTTCTCATCAAACTAATGGTGTTTACTTTTAGGATAGTAAGTCAACACAAAGTGAAAGCGAAAAGCTTCAAGATACTTTTTGATTAAATGTAAATTAAATTTATAGAGTATAGTAAGTTGGTACTAATACATAATAATATTAGATAAAAATTGAAATGATTTTTTCTGTATACTTTTATTTTCCTGTATCTATTTTATAAGTAATATTCGATGTTTTAAAATTAAATAATAATTAAATACTAATATATCAATTTCGATTCTAGTTCGTGTTTTAAAAATCCGTAATTATTAGAAAATTAAGATTTTTTTTATTTACATCTTTGAAACTTCGTTTTCTTAATTATGGTTACAAAGTTAATTTTAATTATGCTTCTTAAATTATTTATACTTTACATTTTATATTTAAGTTGATTCATTAAAAAAATATTATATAACTGTATAATATAATACAATATTGTACAATTAAATAATTGTAAAATATTTTGTACTAATGCCATTGTTAACAAATTATACTTATATAAAATTAAATTATTATCAGTTAATAACACTAAATTTTTCTTAAATTTAAATTGATAAACAAGATTCCTTCTTCATGTTTTGTATAAAAGCCAAAAGTATTTATTCTCTTAAGAAAGAAAACACTGTCTTGAATTCAGGTATTTCACAAATCGGTTTAATTATTTGGATGTGGGCTTACGGAACCGGCCTCATTTTATGAAATGATCGTATTCTAAATCTAAAAGTCAATTCATAACTTATATAATAACTTACATAAATCATTTTTTTATATTCTTAATTTTTATATTTTATTGTATTTATTGTTTTTTATATTTTTGTATTTAAAAAAAATCATTAAACGTATACATTTATTATATAGAACCCTATTTATTGATTTGTACCATGTTTCTTTTGATACGTATATATATAGAATAATACTAGACAATTCATTTTATATAAACGTAGAAATCAGTTTTAGAAAAATAGGCTATCAAACATAAACGTTTACGAGAATACACCTTGTATATCTAACATCTCTGTTTACAAAATTTTTTCACGGTACTTGCGTTTAATTATCGAAGATAAAAAACATAAAATATTAAATCGAAATAAAGAAACAATGCAAGCCAATGTAAGTCGACATTAGATGATAGTGTGTGAAACTTGTGGGTATCATTGACAACAATTGACAATAAAAAGCGATATAGTATTTTCAATGAATAATTTTGCACAGTTTTACATCTAGCAATCACAAAAATATCAGATGTGTATTTAATGCAATTTTGCAAAAATTTGAGAATAAAAAAAGCATAAGTTAGTTATTATACATTCATGCGGCCTTCGAGTAAGTGGCGATTAGAATAAAATGTATAGAAACACTCCCTGTTTTCACGGTCTTCTGGTGATATAATACGTTACAAAATATAATTGTCCTAACGGAAACGATAAGTTTTTCCAAGTTGTTTAAAGTCTGAGTGATAGAACAAAATTTGCTTTTATTCCATTTTGTTTGTGATTTCCTAAATTTAAACGGTTATGTTTTTCTTTTCGATTACAATCTATAGACTAGACCATTGCTGAGGTCCACAGTAGATTTTTATTTATTATTATTTCAAAATATATAAAGATCTGAAGAAAAATCTTGCATACTTGTGAAAACTTTAACGACAAGTATTTACTATAATAAAAGCCGGATGGTATATTATTATTTTTTTACAAATTTAAATGTAAGTGAGAATTTAAAAAAACGTAATATTAATTAAAAATTCGCAACTTTTACATTAGATGAAAGAAGTTCTTTTAGATATAATATTTAGGTATAATATGTACTTTAAAAAAAATAGTACATCAATGTTAGCTTCAGAAAGTTGAATTATTTGAGCATCTGGAAATGAAGACTTTTATAAGTAAAAACATCAACTTTTTTCGTAAAACAAAACAATAAAGTCATTTTTATAGTAGAGTAATTATTAAATTCCTTTTATTTTGATTAAAATGAGTAAGATGATTCCAAAATAAAAATATTGTATAGCATAACCTATAGAAAAATGTGTGACATTAACAAAATGAACATCATTTCTATAATTTAACAAATCTTTCTGGAAGAGTTTTTTTTTTAATTTTGAGTATTTCATAAATTTTGTATGTCTAATATGTCTTCATAAATTACGTTTAATACATCTCCATAAATGTTGATTTTACAATTACATCAGGGAAGAAGTGATATAAAAACTTTAAAAAATCTGTTTTAAAACTAACATTTTTACACACTTCTTAAAATTAGCACCAAAAAGATGTAAAACATGAAAAAGAATCCAAACTTATTTGGACAAAATTTTATGCGGTATGCAACATGAGTCGCTGAGAACACAGGCTCGACTTCTATTCGTCCTTGCAATGAAGCAAACATTTGAATCTGGCGTCTTTGTACACACACAATCTCAACATTATCAAGTATTTTAGGAGGTGATTAAGGTTAATTCAGGTTAATTATTTACTTTGCATTCTTTTATCGATAAGCATTTTTTCGTTTTTTATCTTGTAATCACGATTATGTGATATTAACGCTCAAAGTTGCATATGCAATGTATAATATGTATACATCATAAAAATACAAAGTAAATAATACAAATGCTAAATAATACAAATGCTAAATAAAAAGAGCCATAAATGCTGAATAAAAAATATGACGTGGATAAATTTGTAATTACAAAATTTTCCTAACCATAAGTTACTATGAGATGTTAGACTTCTGTATATAGAAAGTATAATTCTTTAAAAATTGTTTAATGACGTAAGTAGATATATATTTAAAACATTTTTACTTCAAACTGATCAAGTTAAAATTATATTTTTGTTACATACAATTGACGTTACAATTATTTAT